GCTCCGTGAAGGTTTGAAGAGGAACAAGGCACCTGCTGGCCCCTGCTGTACCCGGAGGTGAGGCTGTGCCACAGGCAGCGCCTGAGACAGAAGACACAAACCTTGCACTTTTCCTTCCCAGGGCGACCACAATTCACTGCTTTTGTCCTCTTAGAGAAGGGAAAAAACCCTGTGCTGGCGTTGCTCCTTTCTCCCTTGCCCAGAGGGGAGCTGAGCTCCCTCTCTGCTCACGCCCAGCCGGCCCCATCTGTGCCACCATCTGTGATCACCCTCTGCACGACGCGTCTCTCCAGCCACCTTCTCATTCCTCACCCTGCTCTCGGGACACTCCTCGTGCTCAAAAGCCCCAGATTTATAAGCCTCTTCCAAGACATCTTTGCACCAGCTGAAACTGCCCCTTCCAAGCCATTTCCCGCGGGAGACCTTCAGCTCTCAAAGGAGGTGGAGGGCCTGCTCCCTGCCTGCTCCCAGCCCAGCTGGCAGCTGCTCAGAGATTTAATCTCGCCCAGGCAAACACCTGAGACCAGCACAGACTGAGGGCACCTCAGCAGAAGCCCTCGTGCAGCTTGTCACACTGTGCCAAGTGGCACAAGGGTGCCCAAATTCCTGCTGCATGAGATGAGAACCCCCCCAAACCCCGGCCAGGCCCTGCTCACAGTCCCCAGCTGCCTGGGCTGCCAGAAGCCCTCCTAAAGTCAGCTGAACCCTGTGATGTGAGGCTTAAGGGCACACAAGGAGCTTTTAAAAATACCAACAGAACAGACTGTGTAGAACAGTCCTTCCTCCTGAGCTGCAGGAGCCCGAGTTTGGGGATTTAAGTCCAGCACAGCGCAGCAGGAGGGGCTGCAGGGACAGCATAGGGTGTGAGGGCAGGAGGGCACCCCCGGACCAGCCCCGGTGCTGTGGGGCGTGGGGGGGCAAAGCCACACACGAGTCCCTCCAGCACAGCTCCTCTTGCGGGGGGACAAGGGACGGTTGTGTTTTGCATCACTTGAATTTATCAGGGCAGTGAGGACGCGCCCCGGGGCACGCCAGCTCCCTCCCCAGGGGTCCCCCGCCTCTCCAGGCCCACCGACGGCTCCGGGGCGGGCGACATGCAGCTGCCGATTCGCCCGAGGGGGCACCTTGAGGGAGGGGAGGGGTGGGGGGGGCGAGGCCTATAGGCCCGTCCGCCCCCCGGGGGCCGAGGGGGTACCTTGCTCTTGGCGCAGCTGACGGAGCGCAGCGCCCCGAAGAAGATGGGCAGCAGCGCCATGAGGACGAGGCTGCCGTAGGCCAGCGCCATGCCCTCGGGGGTGGCGGGCGGGCGGGCGGCGGCGCCGGCCCCGGGCGCGGCCCCGGCGGCGCTGCCGTTGTGCGCCGCGGGCTCCTCCATGGCGGTTGCTCCCACCGCGGTCCGCGCCGACACGTCCCCCTTACCGGCCGGAAGTGCGTCACGACGCAGCGACGCTGAAGCCGGACACGCCCCTTTCCCCTTTGCCAGGAGAAGGGCAGCGCCCGCGGCAGCGCCGAGACCCCGCGGGACCCCCCTGAGAGCCCCCCAGGACTCCCCCGGGACCCCCCCGCTCCCAACGGGGCTCTGCCTCCCGGCCCGCCCCTCCCTGCCCGCGCCCCGCGGTGTGACGATAGCCAGGGGGTCCCGGCTCCCCATAACCGCCCCCGGAGCGCCAGCGGGGAGGTGGCACCTCGAGGCCACCCCTGGAGTGCTGTGTCCAGTTCTGGCCCCTCAGCTCAGGAAGGACATGGAGGGGCTGGAGCAGGTCCAGAGAAGAGCAACGAGGCTGGTGAAGGGACTTGAACACAAGTCCTGTGAGGAGAGGCTGAGGGAGCTGAGGTTGTTGAGCTTGGAAGAGGCTCAGGGGAGACCTCCTCACTCTGTACAACTCCCTGACAGGAGGGTGTAGCCAGGTGGGGGTCGATCTCTTCTCCCAGGCAACTATAAGTAAGACAAGAGGGCACGGTCTTAAGCCAGGGGAGGTTTAGGTTAGATATTAGGAAGAAATTCTTTACAGAGAGGGTAATCAGGCATTGCAATGGGCCGCCCAGGGAGGTGGTGGGTTCTCTGTCCATGGAGGTTTTTAAGATGAGACTGGATGTGGCACTGAGTGCCATGGGCTGGTAACCACGGTGGTGTTGGATCAAGGGTTGGACTTGATGATCTCAGAGGTCTTTTCCAACCCAGCTGATTCTATGAGTCTATGATGCCATCAGCCTCCTGGGCTGCCCCTCCATCCAGCCCTGAGTTTCCCTGCCCTTCGCTGTTCTCCAAGGGCCCACCCCTCCTGTCCTTGGGAATTCTGCCCTGACCTCTCCCAGCCCACCCCAGTGGCCACGCGGGCAAGAGCCCCCTCTGTTAAAAATGCCTCGTAAACGGCAGGGAATTCTCCCCTTGTGCTGGACCAGGGCCAAGGCTCTGCTGGAAAATTGGCTGAAATGTGTGTTTTCCTCGCAAATATTCCCAAGCCGCTGGCAGCCTGGCTGTGCCACCGAGCCTTCTCCTCCTCCTCCTCCTTCTCCTCCTCCTCCTCGCTGGGGCGAGGGTCTGCTGAGGAGCAAAAATTGGTGAAGGTTTGGGCACAGTGAAATGGTGCTGCCCCAAGCTTAGATCTGAGCTGTGGGCAGGGGATGGGAGCGCAGCAGGGATTAAATGTAAGTCTTTAATGTTTTAAAAATGTTTTCCTTTTTTTTTTTTTTTAAGTAAAAGGAATCTATTTCAGGAGCAGGGTGATTCATAGTTCCGTGTTTCAGGCAGAGGGCAGATGGGAAGGCCTCCCGGGAGCCCCTCTCTGCAGGGCTGGCGTCCTGCCTGGGATGCTGCCCTCTCCCTGTCGCTGCTGGTCCCACAGAGGAGCACAGGCAGCAGCAGGCAGCGTGCCAGCACACACCCCACTGCATCCCACCCTGCTGCCTACTGTGGTCCTGCCTGGCATGGCAGGGACTGGCACAGCACAGCTCCTGGCCCCCTCACTGACCCCCTCACAGACCCCTCTGGGTGCCCACCCAACCCCTAAACCCCAGCCTGGCTTGGGAATCCTCACAAAGTGGCTGTGCAGGGAGAGCCAGGGCAGTCCAGGGCTGGTGTCCTTCTGTGGCCACATCCCAGCCAGGACCCAGCGGGGCTCCCAATCCCAGGGAAGTGGTGAGCAGGGCAGCGGGCACCGGGGCTGATGGCATCGGGGGGAATGGCCACCCAGGGACAGATGGCACTGGGACAGACAGCACTGGGACTGACGGCCACCCAGGGAGGGATCGCATTGGGATGGGTGGCACTGGGGCTGGTAACCACCCAGGGAGGCATGGCACTGGGACAGGTGGCACTGGGTTGGATGACACAGGGATGGATGGGCACCCAGCGAGGCATGGCACTGGGATTGATGGCCACCCAGGGACAGATGGCACTGAGGCAAGTGGCCGCCCAGGGGTAGGTGGCACTTGGATGGATGGCACCAGGATGGATGGCCACCCAGGGAGCGATGGCACCAGGACAGGAGGCCACCCAGTGACAGATGGGACTGGGGCCCATGACCAGCCAGGGACTGATGACACCAGGATGGATGGCACTAGGATGGATGGCCACCAAGGGATGAGTGGCACTGGGACGGATGGCCACCCAGTGGCAGATGGCACTGGGATTGATGGCACTGGGGCCAATGGTCACCCAGGGAGGGATGGCACTGGGATGGCTCTGGAGGGGCTGGTGCCACTGATCCCCGGCACTACCTGCCCCAGGTGTGGGCCCAGCTGGGGGCCACAGGCAGTCCCTGGACCCCCCCACCAGCCTCCTCCTTCCACCCTCTCTCTGTTTCCCAGCCCCTCGCCGTGGCCCCCCTTGGCCTCTCCTCCCACCCTCCAGCACGGCTGCATTTTTCTGGGTTTGAGCTCATTCTTTCCACTCCCCTCTCTGCCGGCTGCCAACTTTCCATCCCGTGGCCCCCCCTGCCGCCTCCTGCCTCAGGGAAACGCTGGCTGCAGCTGCGGGAGGGACCAGCAGCAGCAAGGACCCTCTGTCCCAGGGGTGCAGCCCTCAGCCCCGGCGTGGCTGACGCCGTGTGAACCACAGCATTGCCTCCAGCAGCACCAGGAACCAGCGTGCCGGGAGCTCCAGGGCGGAACAGCTGGAGCAGAGCAGCAGCAAGGAATGAGCAGCACTGCCATGGTCACCAAGCAGCATGGAAAAAAGCTTCTGAGGACAAAGCTGGCAGGGAGAAAACCTCACTTGGGATTGCACCTCTGGAGAGCTGTTTTCCCACAGGGGCAGGGTACTGCCCCATTCCAGCATCCCGTTTGTGCCGGTCACAGGCAGTGGTTCCCCACGCTCTGACCACAGAGCGAGCAGAAACTCCTGACCTGGGTGGGAGGGCACTGCTGATCCTCCCTGGCCCTGGGCCCAGGGTGCTGAGCAGGTTTCCCTGTGGCAGGGTAGCTGCTGGCTGGCAGCACAGCCTAAAAACAGGCAGAGCCCACGCGGCTCCAGCATCGCTCCCCCCCGGGTGCCCGGGGTCACTCGCTGCTTGCTCCAGCCAAGCACGTCCCTTCCTGCCTGTGCCATCCCACTCAGCTCCTGCTCCCCGTCCCTTCCCGGGGCACCAGGAGCCACTGAGTGCCCAGCTCCCTGCCCTGGCTGTGGCTCCCACAGTGCTCAGGTGCTTGAAAACTGCACCTCAGCAGAGCTCAGCCCTTCCCAGACGCTTTTCCAGACTTGACTGGAGGCTGGGAGGTGCAAGGGGGCTGGGGGCTTCTGCCATCACAGGGGTTGATGCTGGACCACTGGGTGAGGAATGGGGACCTCCATCAAGGGTGGCCAAAGGAAGCCCCAGACAGAGGCTCTCTCCCTGCCCCAAGATATTCCAGCTGATGGAGATGGAGCCAGACAAGGCCTGGCTAGAGCAGGAGGCAGATCCTCTGCCCTGACTACAGGCAAGCAACAGGGCTTCAATCCAACATGGCTCCAGGATGTGGCTCCCCAGGGCAGGGACCCAGCAGAGACCAGCACTCCCTGATGCGGTTTATTCTGCAGATTGAGGGTTTCCCCATCGCACCAGTACAGAGACATCACAAAACCCTCCATCCGAGAAACACTGGTGCCAGGGACACGTGGCACAAAGCCCTGGCACAGCAGGGCCAGGGTGCCAGGCGATGCTCCCCTGTCCCCTCTCCCCAGCCAGGCTCCAGGAAGTCCGAGGTGGACACTGCTATGGTGTTCTCGCCAGTCCCTATGCCCTGCAAAGGATGGGCACCACGAGCAGGACCTGCCATGCTCCTGGCAACCTCCAACCCTGCACTGGGGCATGGCCACCCCTCACCTCTGGCTCCCCAGGAGCAGCTGGGATCCAAAATCCCATCACCTCAAGCACAAGTACCTGTCCCACCCTCCGCTCCATGGACTCAGTCTGACTTGTCCCCTCTCCTGAAGGGGAAGCAGCTGGATCCACAGCACCTCAGCAACCCTGAGCACTGGTGAAAACAGCTCCATGTCCTCAGCATCGCTCCAGTCCTGTCTGGGCTCTCCATGGAGCTGCTGGCCACGCTGTTGGAAGAGGAGAGTCCCAGCCAGCGTGTTCAGAGGGACGGGATGGTGGCTCTCAGAGCACAGACAGGTCGTGGCAGGACTTGGAGCGGACTTTGAGGGCCCCCTTGCTGCTGTTCCTGGCCACCAGCCTGTCGAGGAAGTGCCGGGCTCTCCTGCTGAGGCTTTCCTTGTGCTTCTGGCCGGGCACAGGGTGCGGGTGGGACTCCTTTCCCCCGCGGCGCAGGCGGATCTGCCGCACCACCCCCTCGAAGAGCTCGGCCACGTTGTGCTGCAGAGCCGCCGATGTCTCGATGAACTTGCAGTCAAACACGGCGGCACAGGCCCGGCCCTCTGCAAGGGAAGGGCAGGGAGAGGGCACGGCCCCACTGGCACCCCGGGCGCTGGGGGACGGGCAGTGCCACATGCACAACAGCAGCTGCACATCCAGGGGCAAGGGCACAGATGCGGGGGAAGCAGCTGGGCATGGTCATCCCCCCCCAGGGGATCCTCACCAGCCAGACCCCTCACTGCCCGCTCACCTTCGACGGAGACCTCGCGGCACCGCACCAGGTCGGTTTTGTTCCCCACCAGGATGATGGGGATGTCCTCGGCCTGGCGCGCCCGGCGCAGCTGGATGCGCAGCTCCGAGGCGCTCTCGAAGCTGCCCCGGTCGGTGATGGAGTAGACGATGACGTAGGCATTCCCCACCTGCAGGCAATGGCTGCGGCGCCGGCTCTCCTCACCCTGGCATCACACGGGGAATGAGATGTCACCGCTCTGCAGGGGCTGCTGGCAGCTGTGACCACTGCTGGAGGACAGCAGAGGTCCCCGGCACTGATGGGACCTGCCAGCACACCCCACCAGCCCCTGCATTGTGGGGAGCAGACATGTGATCCTATTATAAAATGTGGATTAAAAGCTCTTGATTTTGGGGGGTGTTTGAGAGTTTCCTTCTCCATCAGTGACAAAGTGGGGCTGTGAGCTCAGCTTGGTGTAGGGAGCTGAGGCTGTGTCTCCTGGGGCCATGCTGGGACACGCAACACCGGTGTTGTGGGAGCTGCACCCTATATGAGCCAGGCAACAGGCACTGCTTGGCAGGGTGAGAATAAATCAGTGGAAAGAAGTGGCTGTTGTTGGGGTGTTAAGGTACTGGGGCATCTACAGGCAAACACAGCCCCAGCCCATGTGAGTGCTGCTCCCCTGTCCACAGCCTGGGCACTGGCTCCATCCCCGCTCCTGGGGACTGGTGGCACTCACAGGAACTCGGGGCCCTGGCATGAAGGGAAGGAGGGAGAGAGGCAGTGACAGCAGCGCTGGCATTTTTGCCAGGAGGTACCTCATGTGCTGGGTGGGAGGAATGCCCCGTGCCAGGCTCTCGGGGCCACCACTCTGCCCGTTGAAGCACGTGTCCTGGCTGGTGGCCCTGTCTCACGTGGATTTACCCAGTTGGCTCCTTTAGCCCCATTCCCAAACCAATTCCATGCATTTCAAAGCGGGCTGGCACCACAGTCCTTCCTCACAAGCCTCTCTTCCCCACCACATGCCTGCCCCTAATGTGAGGGGTCCCTGTGCCCACATTGGTGAGAACACAGCAGGCAACCTCTCATCCCAAGGAAGGGCACAGAGCTGGGCAGAGATGTGACCCCAGCCTGTCTTGCCCAGCTTGTGGCCCCTGCTCTGCAGTGGTGAGCCCTGGACACAGCCGGGGAGGTCCAGGTTGCCCTTTGCAGTGCTCAAAAGGCCCAAAACAGCAGCTGTGCCTGTACAATGTCCCCTGGCCACATCCCGGCTCGCCCAGCCCCCCGCAGCCCCCGGCCCCACTGTACCCGCTGCTCCGGCTCCCAGATGTCCAGCACCAGCAGCGTGGTCTCCTCTCCATCCACGGTCAGCGTGCGTTCGTATGCGGCCTCTGCGGGACACCGGGAGAGCCCGGTCGGTGCCGCACTGTCCGGGCAGCCGGGCCCCGGGCTCCTCTCTGCCTCGCACACGGGTTTCTCCCATCACAGGGCCACAGGGTGTCCCGCGGGGGGAGACTCTCCAGCAGATCTCCCCACCAGACACCTACCTCCGTGCTGCTCTAGCAGGTCCCGCTCCTGAACGCCAGCGAAGAGGTTGACCAGGCTGGTCTTGCCGACGCCGGGGTCACCCAGCAGTACGACCCGGTACCGGGGCTCCCGGGGGCCGGAGGAGCCCGAGGAGTCGGAGGACCAGCTGCCGCGGGGGACCCTGCCGCCCGGCTCGGAGGCGGTGTGGCCGAGCTGGGGGTGACAGGGCTCCCGACGCGAGGTGGCCCCGGTGCCCCCCGGCCTCGGGAGCGGGGTGCTGGCCCTCCGCCGCAGCGGGCTCTTGTTCCCGGGCTGCGTGTTCAGGGTCATCACCGGCACCGAGGGCAGAGAGGGATGGAGGGTGGGCGGGGGGTGCGTGTCACCCCGAGGGGCACCGGCTCCCGGTAGCTTCCGATCGCGCCACTCCCGCTCCCGATCTCGCTCCTGGATCCGCTCCCGGTCTGAACTGGCGGCAACTCGGGCAAAACTTCCCCGGGACGGCCGCGCTTCGCCCGCCCCGATCTTTAAGCCCCGGGGGTGGAGCCCCTCGCCGCGTCGGTCCCTCCCCCGCCGGACACCCCCGCCCGCACCGGCCCCGGGCCGGCCCGGCTGCCCTGTCCCGGTCCCCGAGGTCCCCGCGGGGCTTGCGGTGCCGGGGAACGGCGACTTCCCCAGGGATGTATCCCCTCGGTCCCGGGGAGCAGCGGTCGCACCGGGATGCCGCGAGATGTGCTGCCGTGGGCGGGGGCTCTGCCACGCTCCATTCCCGTGTGGGGCAGGGTCCTCCCGGTGCCCGGCCGTGCTCCCAGGGGCCTGCTCAGCCCAGAACCGCCAAGTAAGGAGAGAGCCGAGCCCCTGCCCGGGGGATGTGCTTTGTCAGCCCAAAGCCCGGCCACTCAGTGCCATCACCAAGACCTGGTGGTGGAACTAGAGGCTGGGGTCTGTCCTGGTACTGGGGAGAGCAGGAGTTGATTTTATTTGAACCTGTGGGTTGTTCCAGGCCTTTGCCGGCACTATGGCTCTGGCAGCACTGCCCTAAAATGCCCCAGCACCTGCCCTGTGCTGACGCTGGTCTCACCCCACGCTGGGCAAACCAGTCCAGTGCACACTGGGATGCACAGGCAGAACCTCAAGAAACCAGGGCCAGTCCCAGGATGTCATGGTCAGAGTACAGCGATGGAGAGGCTGGGAATGACAGTAACACCTTTATTGTGCCATAAGACCACATCAATGTGTGGCCAAGGAGCTGAACAGGGCTGGGGGAAAGAAGGGCTGATGGCAACAGAGGCAGCTCAGCACCTCATCCAAGCCTGCCTGCTCCAGGCCCTGGGCAAGCAGCCAGTGTCAGATGAGTGGTATCTCCTTGGTGGGGGTGCTGAGCACCACCTGGGTACCTGGTGTGCACCTGAGAGAGAGGAGAGTTAGGAGGGAAAAATCACAGAGCAAGAACAAGCTGCTGCACTTTGGCTGTTTCAGTGTGAAGAGGAGGAGGAGAAGCAGGAGTGTGGTGACTGCTCAGATACTTCATGCTCAGAGGGGTCCTGTCCTCTGCATGACAGCCCCAGCATCAAGGGGCACAAGGTGGGTGAAGGGAAGCCTGACTTGTGTTAGCTGTACCACCCTCTCAGTGCCCCCAAGGTCCTGGACTGACTTTCAGTGGGGAGGGTCCAGATGCTCTTTCTGGGACCCAGGACCATGCAAGCAGCTGGGAAAGCAGGGAAACACTTTAAAATCGGGTGAGGGTCATGTCCAGCTCCTATTCAGCATGAACCAGAGCCCAGCATGATCCTCAGCCACCTCAGCAGTATTTTCTCACCCCTCATGGTCTGCCCCAACCACTGACCACTCTGCTGAAAACCAAAATTGGTTGCAGCCCAAACCCTGCTCTACCACCCTCAGACCACCCCCTGCACAGCAGGCTCAGTGCTCAAGGGCCTTCCTGGAGCATCAGAGCCAGACACAACTCCTGGGGCTCTGAGAGGGAGAAGGAATGAATTCAGCCACTCTCACTGTCAATCCTGAAAGACAAACATAAGTGGAGAAAGCCCCATCAGAGCAGCCAGGTACATCTGCTTTCTCGCAGCGAGGACAAGCACGGTGAGCTGGGCTTGCTCAGAGGTGTCTCATCCATCTTGTCTCAGCCCAGGACAAACTGTATATCCAGAGAGTCCCAGCACAGAGCTCAGAGCCGCTGGTAAAATCCGCCTGGGGCCCCTGGGATCAGGAGGATTTTTTAAGGAGGGGAAGCTGAAATGCAGACAGGAATGGGTATGTGGGGGGTTACAGCCCCTCTGGGCTCCCCACACTTCCAGCAGAATGCAGGGGCACAGGGAGGGCCAGCACGAGCCCTGGGTTCCTCTGCACCCTCACGCTCCCAGGCCAAGCAACTCATGACTCATTTTGCTCTTTCTGGAAGCAAATCCAGTGTCTGGAAGCAAAGGGTTAATAAGCAAAACGAAGGGCTGGTGATGTCGTGTGAAAAGTTGCAGGGAGGTCAGTGGGAAAGGACTGAGGATGGTGGAGAGGGCTCTGGCACAGGCTCCCGCCTGTCAGGGCGGGTAAGCACCAAATGCCTGACTTGTGATGTTACAGAAACTTTCCACTTGGGCCTTCCTGCTATTTTTAACTCTTCTCCCAGCCACCCTCAATAACCCCAGCCCCACCAGCTGCGGAGGCTAACTAATTCCCCTTTTTTATCATTTTTTTAAACATTTAAAAAAATTGAGTTCCACTAATCCATCACACAGCCGCTCGCCTCCTCCCTCCTGAAACATTCCAGGCTTCCCTCCTTCTTCGGCTCATGCTTCCATAGCTACAGCCATAGCTGTCTTCCAGCTAAAACCCAGACCCCAGTGCAGAAGATCCAGTCCCTCTTGTCACTGCAGCTCTGCTGGGTGAGTGTCTGCCCAACAAGATGATATTTTCATGGAAAATAAGCCTGGTGCGTGCCTGGGGTGTGGAGGAGCTGGGGGCTGGCCTGCACCTGCAGAGACAGGACACACAGGGAAGGAATGATCCCATGAGCAGACCCCCTGAGCACAGCCTGCCACGTGTCACGGGGCTCTCTCCCTCCTGGCAGGCTGACGGGAAGATCATCCCCACAGAGCAAATGGGATTCGTTCTCAGAAATGGAATTGTTTGACATTTATAAGATCAACACAGTGTCTTCAACCGAGTGGGATGGAAAGCAAAGGTAATGCGACTGTGTAGACTCATTTCACAGTGATGTGAGCAACTCACTTCCCAGATTATTTTCCATTGTTTTTTCCTTTCCTGGAGCTCTGCCTTCGCTGTGTCCAGCTGGTTCTGCCTGCAGGTCTGCACCACTGCCTTTACTCTTGCACAGGGACAAACTCAGTCACTGCTCATTCCACAGAGCTGGGAAACATCCCCCTGCACCATCCCTGACCTTCCCCTCAGGCGCTGCTGCTCGCACTGAGCACGGAGGAATCTGTCACTGTGTCTGGTGCCACCCCTCACAGAGCGGCTCTGGGGAGCAGAGCGGTTCTCCAAGAGCCAGATGGAGCCAGGGAACAGTATGGAAGGGTAGATTTCAGATGTTGCAGGGGTGATACTGCTGCCGGTCTACGGGGAGACGCCCCCCGGCTCGCCCTTTTGCCTCCTTGGGAGCCCCTTTGCCCTCAGGGACACCCCTACACCCCACTGCCCCTCATCATCCTCTGCTCCCTGGGGACCCCCATAGCCTCCGGAGACCCCCTCTTCGCCACGGCCCCCGGGATGCCCCGTATCCCGGGCCGGTCTCCACGGCGACAGCGGGCGGGCCCGGGGACCGGGCGGGACTCACGGTCACGGGACCGGGCAGGAGGGGCGCCCCCTGCTGGCTCCGCCTCGGCGCTGCACCGGGGCGGGACCACCGGGACGGGATCACCGGGACGGGATCACCGGGACGGGATCACCGGGACGGG